TCTACTTATGTTTATCACTGTTTATCATTGTTTGCCACTGTCTACTTATGTTTATCACTGTTTATCATTGTTTGCCACTGTCTACTTATGTTTATCACTGTTTATCATTGTTTGCCACTGTCTACTCATGTTTATCACTGTTTATCATTGTTTGCCACTGTCTACTCATGTTTATCACTGTTTATCATTGTTTGCCACTGTCTACTCATGTTTATCACTGTTTATCATTGTTTGCCACTGTCTACTCATGTTTATCACTGTTTATCATTGTTTGCCACTGTCTACTCATGTTTATCACTGTTTATCATTGTTTGCCACTGTCTACTTATGTTTATCACTGTTTATCATTGTTTGCCACTGTCTACTCATGTTTATCACTGTTTATCATTGTTTGCCACTGTCTACTTATGTTTATCACTGTTTATCATTATTTGCCACTGTTTACTTATGTTTATCATTGTTTACAACTGTTTGCTTATGTTTATCATTGTTTACCCCTGTCTACTTATGTTTATGATTGCTTACCTATGTTCATCACTGTTTGGCATTGTTTACCACTGTCTATTTATGTTTATCACTGTTTATCATTGTTTGCCACTGTCTACTTATGTTTATCACTGTTTATCATTGTTTGCCACTGTCTACTTATGTTTATCACTGTTTATCATTGTTTGCCACTGTCTACTTATGTTTATCACTGTTTATCATTGTTTGCCACTGTCTACTTATGTTTATCACTGTTTATCATTGTTTGCCACGGTCTACTCATGTTTATCACTGTTTAGGATGATACAAGAGTTCTGTTTCCACACTGATGTTTACTAAATTAACAGTAAACTCTGGACTTTGGCTAAATCATTGGTCTTAAATCAAGCCTTATCTCAGCATGCATGCAGTACATGAATAAATCTACTTCGTATGTCTAAACGTATGTATGAATCTTCATCATTTTGGAGATGATTCAGGCTGCAAAACTGATGCAAATCTATGGTACACTACATGTGCATGCATTTTGCGATTATGTTCATTGCAGTTTAAACAACTTTTTTTTGAAATAAGATTCAAAAATTGCTAAACAAAAGCAAAAAATTACCTAGTGCACACAACACAAGTAACAACTTCATTGGCATCATAAGGTGGACAAGGAATACTAATACATGTTGAGAGGATAAAGTAGAAAAGGGCACCATCAGTATTAGCACCACTCTCATCAATGGATTCAGGATTATCATCAACGCACTCGTGTAAGCTATTTTTCTTGTGAGTATGGTGACTCGTCATCAGGTATCCTTTATATTCCATAGTCCATGATGAAGGACAGCTGGTTCTGGAAGGAATCATCAGTTTAGTGCTCCTGGTTGGTGCATAACATACTGCACAAGGAACATTGTGATCATGCTTATCTGGAAATATACTATTGACATCTTGATATTCAGAACCATATATCCAAGAATTATCAGGAGGCTTTGGTTTTTTCATATTTTGAGGGTCTTTTGCAGGCAAACAGACATGGTCGGCTCCTCCTCCCATATAATTGTAATAACCACCTGCAGCTAGTCCCTCATATACCAGTTCAGCTCCAGCAGGACAGGACTTCCTTCCCCAACGAGTGTACACTGCTCCTCCACTTTTAGGACCTGCTGGTCCTACTGGTCCAATATCACCTTTATCTCCTTTGTCGCCCTTATCACCTTTCAAATAAAAAAACAGATAGGAAACACTTATATATAGTAATATACTAAGTCTTTACAAAATACGGTTATAAAATGGAGTCTCATTCCATTATGATTACCTTTAAATGTATTATCATAATCCTTGCTTGTAGTAGATAATACAAAAATGGAGAGTGTAGTCAGTATAAACACAGACTCCAATAGGTTCATTGCTGTCGGCCCGGATCCAGAAAAACTATTAAAACTAGCTACTAGTAGCTAGGGTGGAAAGCACAGCTAGAAGATCTATTAAATAGAGGATATGCGTGCTAAGTATATTCATAGCTTTTTAGTACCGTATATCCAACCCACACAGTAAATTGGCCGCCATGTTGGACGTCAAGTTTATTAAGAGTTCAATGGGGGAAAACACATTTTCTTGCCTTGCTACCTTCTCGAGGCCTTTTTCGGAAGCTTAGAAAGCATCCTGAGGATCTAATGGGGTCTAGTAGTCACCTGAAAGATTGCTATCAAGAAATGCAGAGCGGTTTTCTGGTACCAAGCCTTTTTCTATCATTTCTCCATTGCTGCCAATGGAAAGTTGACGTCCAACGAACTAATTTTTTTCTTGAAAGTTATTACGGTATGCAATGAATACATTTATTTTGCTATAATTATTATTTTATTATTTTTATTTTATATGAATATACTTAGCACGCATATCCTCTATTTTACACTCCCACAAATGTTACTGGAATTATCTGCTGATTCCAATCAAAACTGGATTTATGAAATTTTAAGACACTGAACTGTGTATACAGGGCAATATTTCATCAGAGATAGCTAGGAGAAAATTTGTTAACCGTCTTCATTATCAGCCTCAGCACCAGGAAACAACACAGATGATTCATACAGTGCAACTCACCAATCAGCTCTCAGCTGATAAATAATTTTTACAATCATTATTATTATTATGATAAATTATTAATAAAATACTCTAGTCTACTAGATAATGTCATTAAGCTATAAGTACATTGAAAGTTTGCAACTAGTTCAGTTTGAGACGGTGAGAGACTATGTAGATCCTAAAATGAAAAATTTTAATTTAAAAAATGAAAATTAGTGGAGACAAATTTCACCAAAATTTAACCCCCAGGGGGCATGCATGTGAACAAAATTTAATCAGCAGAACCTTTCCAAAGGCGACCCAACACATTTTATACACTCTAAGTTCTACATTTTCTAAGTATACAGTATTTCTTTATACCTTCACTCTTCCCAAGAAGCTTTCATAGACTCGGCCACTGCTTTGGCGTCATAGTTTTTATAGAAGTCCTCGTATCTCTTCCTCCTCGGGAAAAAGACTCCAAACAACCAGACTGAACCTGCGGAGAACGAGATCAAGAACCCCAGGGCTAAATCTCGCTTTATGGAACGGTAGAGCAGTCCTTTCAACTGAGGAGCCATTTTGTTTGTCTCTGTTTATTACCTAGATATACGGGAGAATACTGAAAATCTCCGGTTACGAGCTCCGCCTTTTGCGCATGCGCAGTGGGCCGTTTTAAAGGTTGCCAGGACAACCACAAAACAAGATGGCGGCCGTTGCAGAGCTTAGCTTGACTCCTTCCTCGCTTGCCGAGGCCTCCTTATCGAGAGCACGTCAGAAAAGAAGGAAAACGACAAACAAAGAAAAGTATGACTTTAAAACACCCTCACTATAATAATTTATAGATCTAGATTCAATAATAGAAAATAAAGGAATTATCACGATTAATTTTTTATTTTTCAATTATTTTAAATTTTTCCTAGAAAGGAAGAACCAGTTTCTCCCACTTATAGTAGGGCTCCGCAACCTCTCCCTCTCTCACTGCAAAGAGAGATTCCAGTAGCAAGAGAAGAACCAGTTACTGAAACCTCTTTTATTGGACACACTCAAAATGGCCGCCAAGATGAGGAGTCTACTCCTCCTCCTTCTCCTCCGACACATTCTGATGGGAAAGATGCTGAGGGTGTGGCTTTATCGGGAGACGTGGATCATCATGGGGACCAGGAAGGGGAAGGAGGGAGAGTGAGACCTCAAGTTGAAGAACAGCAAGATGAAGGTGATGATGATTAATTACATGTACAATTGTACATGCATAATTTAGAGAGAAAGATTTTGAATAATACAGTTTTATCATGATCAATATTATTTTTCATGCAAAATTAGTAATAATATGCATGTACATGTACACGCAGTTTAATCAACTTTTTAATGAAGAAAATTACCTCTATATAAGTCATACACTACTGCTGTAATGTATTTTATTAGTATTAATTTTAACTCTTGCTCTTCATAAAATTGTGACCATAATTGACAAAAGGTACCTTGTGGCGGATAGGAAAATTGGTGTTTATAGCTTTAAAAAACCAACTCCCAGAGCTTCATTGGATGCAAAAAGTTACTATGTAACCTTTAGAAACATTTTCTGACTAACAGAGCTCTCACAGGTTGATATATTTCATTATAATGATGAATTTAAAAATCCGCCATAAGGTACCTCTTGTCAATTATGGTCACAAATAATCAACAATTCCTATATCTTTTTTCATACCTTGCCTCTCAATTTTTGATCCCTCTCCCTCTCTCCCTCCCTCACAGATAAACTAATCGGTATTATATTCACGATACTCAATGCTTATCCTTTAAAAGCTAAACTAACACTCCAGTCCCTCTCCATTAGACTCTCAGTATGCAACAGGATCACTAATACACTACACACTAAATCCCAACCTCATCACTCAGCAGTCTCATACTATGAGAAGGATAATCCTCAAGTTGACTATATACTACCAGTAATGAGCCAACCCTGCTACCTCTCCTCAGACCTGTAAGCAACATTATACTCTCGCCACGCCCCTTCACTACCAAAGGGGCGTGGCAAAACTAGTAACATTAATACATGTACATGTACGTACATGTATATTGATATTATGTAAATCAATAATATTATTATTATTATTATTTTTATTTTTATTATTTTTGTTGTAGTCAAGGTATATTACAGGCCAATTGGAATGAGGAGGTTATCATTCACGAGAGACGCTCTCACATTTTTAACCCTCACACCCTCTTACTGGTTGAGCTCCTTCAACTCAAGCAACAAGCCACGCCTACTCCGATAGCCTGGGGCTGGGTTCTGATTGGTCGGATGCCTCTGGATCGGGAGATATGTGTCAAGTTATACCGTGTACCCAAAAGAAACTATTTTTTAAAAGTACGTTATACATAATCCTGTGATTATTGATACTGCAGTAATACTGATGCATGTACATGTACATGTATATTGTACATGTACATGCATTAATTTTATTACATTTTCTGATACACATTGTTGTCCTTATGCGTTTGATCTGATTCTGACTTCAATTTTTTGAGTTACGGCCATTTTAAGAAAATGCCAAAATTCTGAAAATTACCCTATACTATAGCCCATGGTTTTTTCCAAAAAATAGCTCCAAAATCACTTCAAATTTTTATTACATTTTCTGATACATATTGATGTCCTTATGCTGTGTAGAAAGTTTGAGCTGATTCCGACTTCAATTTTTAAAGTTACAGCCATTTTTAAAAATGAGCCAATTTTTGAAAAATACCCAAGGCTATAGCCCATGGTTTTTTCTGAAAAATGGCTCTGAAATCACCCCAAATTTTTATTACATTTTCTGATACATATTAATGCCCTTATGCTGTGTAGAAAGTTTGAGCTGATTTGGATAAGAAATTTTTGAGTTATGGCCATTTTTAGAATGTGCCAATTAAAAAAGTATTCCATTGTTTTATACACAGAGATGTCCTAGCACTGACATTAAGGTGATCATTAATGAGTTATTGAACATTAAGAGTCCAAAGGATTATCCAACAGTCCTCTGTATGAGAGCAGTGATAAAGGACAGCACCGAACTAACCAATCCTGATGGACGAGTGTTGAGATCCACTTCACCACTAGTACCAGTAAGAGAAGAATAAATTAATATTAATAATATTTTACTGATTACAATAGGAATCAAGCTCTGAAGGTCTCACTAAATTAAGGTATGGTATAAGCTACATTATGAATACATGTACATGTACATGTACATAAACACTGTACATGTACATGTACATGTATGTGATTACATGTATATTTTATAGTATAAATGTGTACATGTACATGTACTGTTCGTTATTGGCTCAATCAATTGGCCAGTGACCCACAAGTACATGTACATGTACATGTACTGTACATGTGTAGCAATTAAAATTAATAGTGTTTGTTGTACAAAATATGTTAACATTGTGAGAAAGGCAAAATATCTCACTGTAGCAGCAACACTCATCATCTCTCTCTCCTCCTCTTTCTCTCTCCAGGTCCAGTAGATTGAAAGGTGTCCTCCATGACAGTATCAACAGTCTTGATGATGGACTCAATCCTGATCCACAGTGGACTAGGCTACCAGGCCAGCCCTGTGCAGTCCCCAGTAAACTGGACCAGTATCTACTAACTGGCAGTAATGGCTGCTCTGCTTTATCATTCTCTCATTCTGGAAGGTTAGGAATACACTTAAAAGCACTATTATAAATGTACATGCATGATTCATGTACATGTATAACTTTAACTTTTATTAATATTTTCATTAGGTTTTTGGCTGCTGGCATTGAAGATAATGGTCAATCTATGATTAAAATATACCAGGTGAGTATTCTCTATACATGTACATGTATTTTTATTTGCTGCATTTACATGTTAATTCATCTCCCCATAGGTCATGAAGTGGGTGCTATTGTGTACCCTACCCAGTGATACTAATATCATTTACAAGCTCTCGTGGTCCATTGATGATAATCAACTAGCCTGTGCCTCTGCTAGTGGACTCTGCCAGTATGTACATGCACACAATTTGTAATTTTTACTTCTATTTTATCCTTATTTTGTCATGGTACATGTACATGCATGTACATACATGTATATTTGTACATGCATAAAAGTATTTAATTTAATCTTTTTAATCTTAATTTCTCTGTCTCTCTCTCTCCTCCAGTGTATGGTCATTCACTGAGGCTGGTAATGTTGAGACACTACTCCCTCATCCCTCTTATGTCTACTGCTGTGAGTGGATCGGTCCTCCCTCTAAAGACTGGTCTGGTTTCATAGTCACTGGCTGCTATGATGGAGCCATTAGGTGCTGGAAACAACACCAAGTGAGATCTACATATATACATGTACATGTACTGTATATTCTCAATAATAATACATGTATATGTAAATAAATCTTATGTAATAAGTTTATTTACTTATGTAAATAAGTCTTGTGGTTACATATGCATTTGCATACATGTACATAAGCTTCGTAATAATTTATTTTATATTTTATATTTTATTTTTATTTTATTAGTTGACTCATGTTGAAGATGTCCACTCCTCAGTCAATGCCCTGGTGTTTGATGTGAAGCAGTCCTTATTGTATTCTGGGGATAGCACTGGAGCTATTAAAATGTGGAAAATAAATAATGGTACATATAATACACATCATAATGTACAATATACACTTTATTATGCATTATTCTCCCCCCCTCCCTCTCTCTCTCTCATTGTAGATGATTACACTATCCAGTTGCACTGTAACATTCTTATACCAGAGTATAAGGTAACGCATTACATACATGTACATGTACTCTGTACATGTACATGCAAATATTTCTATTAATTTTGTTGACTTTGTGAGAGAAAAAAAACATGTACTGATTACATGCACATATGTGTAGTTTGTGATCACAATATCATTATTATTGTTCATGTACTCTGTTCACAGGGTATGAGTATAAGGGACATGTCATTATTACCATGGTCTCATCAGGTGGTAGTGTATAGACCTAAAGGATTCAACCAACTGACCAAAATTGACATTAGAATGTAAGAAATGGAGAGAGAGAGAGAGAGAGAGAGAGAGAGAGAGAGAGAGAGAGAGAGAGACAAAAAATTAAAATAATCAAAAATCATTATTTTTTTAGTGAGTCAGTAACTGTTGTATACTCTACCAGTGACAGTATTACTGGGGGCGTGGCAGTGGGTGGAGCCAGTAGGTCACTACCCCATGGTGGAATGTGTGTATCACCTTGTGGCTCACTAGTATTATCAGTAACTGGCTCATTGATACACGTATGGAATGCATCTAATGGTACGTGAATACATGTACATGTACAGTGTAGCCTCTCTATAGTGTACACCTCCATTTAACAGACAGCACCTAGTGTACCAATTACATTCCTTACTGTATAAAATAACCTCCACATAAAGGACACCTCTGTATAACAGACACTTCCTTGCCCCAAAGTGTCCATTATATAGAGGCTAGTCTGTACTAACAGTACTCAGTACTGTACAAGTATAAATACATATTCTATTCTTTCCTTCCTCTCTGCATTAGGTAAACTGCTTGATGTTCATGAGTGTGGTACACTGAGGTCTAATGGTATAACATGTCAGTATCATCCTTTTGAACATTTGTTTGTGTGTAGTGGGATTGGTCATAATCAAGTTATATCATTACTATCATAAATTTAATTTATTTATTATCATTATTAAATTATTGTTTTATCATTTTTAATTCTCTTTTTATTGTTTTTTTTTAATCAATTTGACTCAATCTAAACATGTAGAAACTTTTAACATTCATTTAAAGATACTTGATATACATTTACATGTACATGTACTGACGTAGCTACAATGTATTAGCAGTATTGCATGGACTTTGCAAGCAATATATACATGTGGTATGTGCTTTTAAAATCTCACTTTTTCATTATACAGCCATGCTACCATTGCTACAGTTCATTGATCAAAGTTGTAATGTGGTTAATGATCATATCATGTAGGACATGTCCTCAAGCTAAGAGTTTGTAATAGTAATAGTAATGTATTTATGTGTGATAACAATGGGGCTGATGTAGCAGTGTTTAGTTAGGCCATTCAGTCATCAATTAAAAGCCTTTTGAATCCGTACTGCAGCCATTCCAGTTGTCAGATATTGACTGATCGACAAAATAATAAAAATGTTATTGGCAGTATCTGATCATGTGTATTGTATTGGTTGACTGAATGCCAACCCACAGTACAAATATATCTTGGTATACTCAGAGTATAAATGAAAATACTGAGCTACTAGCCTACTATACATCTAGATTGATAGTACTACATGATACATGTACATGGAGCTGTATGTATATTGTTTTGCGCGGGAAAATCTCATGAAAAACCAGCCGCAAATTTATTCAGTGGACCCAGTAGGCGGAGCTTCTTGTCCTCGTGGAAAAAGCGTTTCTCTTTCTCTCTTTCTCTGATTCTGATCGTACCCTGGCCTACTAGGAGAAGTAATGGCGAGTAAAGATCCAAAGACACCTACTGTAAGTGGACTGGGAAAGGATAGATATAGAAAAAAGCTTACAATGGAATATTAAGTGTCTCTATTTTGTATTATACTTATAGAAGGAAGGAGAGGTTGCAAGTGAAGGCAATGAAGAAGAACCAACTGGTAAGTATTAATGAAATACATTAAAAGTATTGTAAATATTGACGGCAAATTAATATTGGTGGATTGGCAGTATGTGAAGCAACCATATCCGATATTTTAAGTTTATTCTGAGCAGTGAAACATGGCTACTGAATTGCTAATATAAATTCACCACATGTATAACTTTTGTCATGAGCAACTTAAAAAATTTGAAAAAATCCTGATGTGATTACAGCTACGCACCATAATGACATGTACATGTGCGTAATAAGAATTTTGTTCAAAGATTACTTCTCTCTCTCTCTCTCTCTCTCTCTCTCTCTCTCTCTCTCTCTTTCCCTAGCTCTGTATGATCAGCCATTGATAGTGGAGGGTAAAAGGAAGAGAAGAAGTGTTGACCTTTTTGCGTTCTCATCTCCTCGAGAGGCTCAGAAGACACCAAAGGAAACTCAAGTGAGTGACATTATGGAAC